CAACTGTACAACAACTCACTCTTATGTAACAGATAATACTCCCTACAACTGTACAACAACTCACCCTTATGTAACAGATAATACTCCCTACAACTGTACAACAACTCACTCTTATGTAACAGATAATACTCCCTACAACTGTACAACAACTCACCTTATGTAACAGATAATACTCCCTACAACTGTACAACAACTCACCCTTATGTAACAGATAATACTCCCTACAAACTGTACAACAACTCACCCTTATGTAACAGATAATACTCCCTACAACTGTACAACAACTCACCCTTATGTAACAGATAATACTCCCTACAACTGTACAACAACTCACCCTTATGTAACAGATAATACTCCCTACAACTGTACAACAACTCGGCGTTATGTAACAGATAATACTCCCTACAACTGTACAACAACTCTGCGTTATGTAACAGGTAATACTCCCTACAACTGTACAACAACTCGCCCTTATGTAACAGATAATACTCCCTACAACTATACAACAATTCACCCTTCTGCTTGTCTCCATGGAGATTTTATTGCTTACTGCCTCCATAGAGATACATAAGTTTAATGCTATACTGTGGAACATTCCAGGCAACACCTCCATGGACAGAAGCTGGTGACGGACCCTCTACCAGAAAAGTTACACGGTGCGCCTTTAACACACAAACCCTGCATGTGTTTACGCGAAAACACTGAAAACACTCTGGTCCACCTTGTGATGTCATTTTGTAAAACAGGAAGTGCTCCACTGTTTCAAAACTCCACACACCTTCACTGGAATCATGTGGGTAATTTCAGCCCTGGGATTTCCAGTCTCTATGAAACTGAACCGAACTGGACGAAAAAGGTAAAGCCGTTAACTTGAAAACTACCACTTCGTGACATCACAAGGAGGACCAGAGCATTTTGAGCTTTGGAGATGTACAGACTAATAATGCAGGGTTACTCAAACATGTGGGAATGAAACAAAACACACCTCCAGGTCTGTTTTTGATGAGGTAACAACATTATAACATGACTAAAAGCTCACAAAAGTAATTTCTATGCAATATAACATTTTTAAAGATTTTATTACTTTTAACAACCAATAAACAATAAACATAAAATACAAGACTAAAACTGCTATTTCTACTTTAAGGTGTGAAAAGTAACGCAAAACGTGTGTAACTAGTTTGACCCCATTTGCATTTGGTATAAGATAAAAACTACACTGAACTACACTATAGAGGGACAGCTCATTCTCCAGCAAGCCCCAACAGATAATACTCCCTACAACTGTACAACAACTCGCCCTTATGTAACAGATAATACTCCCTACAACTGCGCAACAACTCGCCCTTATGTAACAGATAATACTCCCTACAACTGTAGAACAACTCACTCTTATGTAACAGATAATACTCCCTACAACTGCGCAACAACTCACCCTCATGTAACAGATAATACTCCCTACAACTGCGCAACAACTCGCCCTTATGTAACAGATAATACTCCCTACAACTGTAGAACAACTCACTCTTATGTAACAGATAATACTCCCTACAACTGCGCAACAACTCGCCCTTATGTAACAGATAATACTCCCTACAACTGTACAACAACTCGCCCTTATGTAACAGATAATACTCCCTACAACTGCGCAACAACTCGCCCTTATGTAACAGATAATACTCCCTACAACTGTAGAACAACTCACTCTTATGTAACAGATAATACTCCCTACAACTGCACAACAACTCACCCTCATGTAACAGATAATACTCCCTACAACTGTACAACTCAGCCTTATGTGACAGATAATAATCCCTACAACTGTACAATAACTTACCTTTATGTAACAGATAATACTCCCTACAACTGTACAACAACTCACCCTTATGTAACAGATAATACTCCCTACAACTGCACAACAACTCACCCTTATGTAACAGATAAAGCTGTGTCCTGTCAATCATCATATCATTTTTGCACTGTTTTTCTTACAAAACTGAGAAATATTTGTTATTATATTTCAATATTTGTGCATATACATTTATTATACTCTCATTTTGAATTTACTGTTATCATTTATATATTTTTTTACCCTTTGTTTTTATATTACATTGTGACGTGTGAGCGACTGTGTCCGAGTAATTTCCCTAGTGGATCATTAAAAGTTTGTCAAAGTCTAAATGTAAAAAAAACCTTCTGGAAAAGTGCAGAAGGAGCCATGTTGGAAAGGGCTCTGGATCAGCCTGTCAGTGTTGTCACGAAGCCGGTGTGAGAGCCAGCTGGCACTCTGCACACCGCCCCGAGCTCCCATCTATGACATCACCTCCCAGCAAGACTTCACGCGCTTTGATTCAGAAGTGATATTATTATCTTCAGTAAAAACACACGCCGTCGAATGTTGGCTGCGACCGTTTTGAATAGACGCATCAAGAATCTCGGACTTCCGGTCATCGCACAATGCATACTGGGAAGGATTTTCTGAAAAAAGTGAGCATCAAACTGCCATGTTTGTTTTCCCAGTGAGATTGGTCTATTGTCAAACCTGATCTTTTCTAGTCTTTTGAACCATATCGCTGCTGATATTGTCATATTTTAGTTTTGGGATTCGGACATCGTTAATTGTGTGGTTGTTGGATCCTAACAGCGGAAAATGGCTCGAGAAATTTGTTTACAAACTCCATAAATGCAAAATGGAATCAGATGTGTGTGACTGCAAACCTCCGTTCAAACTGTTTCCCTTCCCAACGGAATTGAAAAATAGTGAAAAGTGAAGGCGATGGGCAGGATTGATACACAGGAAGGACGAAAAAGGTAAACTCTGACTGCCTAAATCATCCCGAGTTTGCAGAGAACATTTTGTATGTGGAGCGCCAACAAAGCGGGATCTCATCTGGTAAGCGAGAAGTGCAGAAGACAAACAGACTGAGCTCGCACTTTCGTGTTCTTGTGGCTTTACAGCAACATTAAGTCTTGGTCGCGTTGCAGTGGAAGTTGTTTCTTAGCAAACAGCTGGTGCCTTTTGCTTTGACGTTGACTTTTTAAATTCGTAACCAAGGTTGAGTGAGGGATCGTGATTTTGCTTAAATATCGTACCGTGACAATATCGTATTGTGAGATTTGGATATCGTTACACCCCTAGCTGTGATTGGTCATCTCTACCACCACTCTACATACATTTCTTGTCCTCCACTTTCCTTTCTTTCAATATACTTTGAGTAATAATGTGTTTAATGCAGCTTTACGCATATTTGTTTACATTTTACAGGAATGAAACTTGAAACCACATGGCTAATTTGCATAAAATATAAGCACTGAAAAAACAGCTCGCTCCTTGTGCGCTGATGCAGTTCAGCTTCTGTTGGACTAAACAACATGACACAGTGGAATATGAGTGTTCCTTCTGTGACAGAGGGGTGTTCTGCTGATGGTGAGTCTGTTCTGTGCTTCTGTCGCGTTGGAGATGCTTCATGTTAAACTTTTCAGAGATATATGAATGGACATATATTCAAGCCTCTTAGCGTTTTGGCGGTGAATTACTTTGCGGCGCATAGACCTTCATCAGCGTATCAGCGTTTTCAGGTGTCCACACAGTGCTGGATCAGATCTGTACTCAGATCAGAAAACGATTTGAATACGTACTAGTGTGGACGGAGCCTAAAGGACACGACGCAGTGGAATATGAGTGTGCTGCTGATGGTGAGTCTGTTCTGTGCTTCTATCACGTTGGAGATGGTTCATGTTAAACTTTACACAAACGCCAGGTTTAAATCCTTGCCTCCTCACATTGTGGCGGTGAATTACTTCGTGGTGCATAGACTTCGACATAAATCCATAAATTGGGCTTCAGGAGCACTACAAAAAAAATGTGGCTTTGATGATCCCAAAATCGTTTTGTCTGAGATTGCGATTTTCAGTCCAAAACGACAGATTGTTCAGCCCTATTACAGAGTACTGAAGTGTGTATTCTGGATTCAACTAAACAAAATAATCACTAACTAACTTTATGATCCTTGCACCATCCTTGAGCTGTGCGAGGAACCAGGTCAGATCATAAAACCACTGACAGACAGGTGGAAAAAGGACCAAACCATGCGGAACAGTGACCCTTCACCCGTCCCCCCTGCTCCTGTCTGACCCATTTTCACAGTGCGAAGAGGAGGCAGAGGAGGAAGAGGAGGAGGAGGAGGAGGAAGAGGAGAAGAAGAGAGGCATGATTCAGCACAAGCAAACACACTCCAGCAACTCCATGGTGGTTAAATAAAGGGACCCTTGTTGAGAAACTGACTCTGGGGCCAAAGAATAAGAACAATTGTACTATAACCAATGATGGGAAGAATACTGAATAACTGCAGTAAAACGTATTTACTAAAGTATTCTGATACATGGTCCATTCAGAGTACTGTGTTCTGAATACCTAAAGTGCTTTTATATGGAACTGAATTTTAAATTATAGCATAAAAACTCAACATAAGAATAAAACAGCACCATAAAAACTGTTTTGTGTTTGTTTCTTCTTGCTTTACAAGTATTAATTTACCAACAATGGATATAACTATGCTTGGTTAAACATAAAACCTGTCAATTTATAAAGAAAAGTGTAAAAAAAATTTAATGCATTATCAGGTAAGAAGCAAGTACATAGTAATAAATAGTCTATGTAACTTTTTTTTTTTTTTATCAGGTATCAAGACACCTACTGCGGTCTTTGTTATATTTATTTTATTTAACATAATAAACGCGTTGGGATTGGAACTCTTCTTTTTTTTGAGGTTGTGTTAACTACAGATCAAAAGTTTCATGTAAAACAGACCTGAGTGTGTGGCTGGAGCTACAGGAGTTGATTAGTCCACACCAGTATCACACATCCAGGGGAAAGAGACCTGCCGTAACCGAGAGGTCACGTGACCCTCCCCGCGTGTGTTTCTTCTGTTATAATAATTAGCCTGATAGATTTCCAAAAAGCTTTGGTGGTGTAAGTGATATGAGTCCAGAGCACTCACCCGCGAGCCCCCCGCCTCCATCTCCGTGGCCCTTGCGCTTCTGGAGGATGAAATACGGATTGGCTCGTTCGGTGATCCACAAGGCGCCCGCCAGTAACACGTCCTCGGGACTGACCCACATCGTGCCGCGGTCTTCAGGGTCTCATTGAGAGGCACACGAGGCGAGATGGTCCAAACAGTAAGAGTAGGATTGCTATCACGGCCGAACACTGATGGAGGCCTGCCGACACTCTGAATATGGTCGGATGCCCTGGAGGAGCACAGACAGTTTGTGCTATATTTAACCGTGTCCGCAGAGCCAGGCCCGTGGCGGTCCACACCTCACTTCACTGTAAACTCTGCCTCACTGTTATTTAAGAGCACACAGTCCCACTGTCCCGGAGTCCCGAGCCCAGCTCCGCCTCTGTCTTTGTTTTCGTGCTCGCCCCGCGGCAGGTGCCGCTCACAAACGTCGCGCTGCTCCGCGTGGCGCCGCGCACGGACCTCAGTGCTACAACAGAGTGCGTCGGTGCAGCTGATCAGCTGTTTCACATCGCTCTGAAACACAAAGGCGATAGTTGTACAGTAAAAACAGAGACGCTGCGGTCCTCTCCTCCTTCTCCTCCTCCGCTGCCGCACGCACGCTCTGCGCACCGCGTCACGTAGCGCAGCGTCAGCTGGAGAGGTGGAGGCACGGGAAGAACTGGAGAAACACACACACAAATACACACAAACACACACAAATACACACAAACACACACAAATACACACAAACACACACAAATACACACAAACACACCCCCACGCACAAACACACCCCCACACACAAACACACGTGCACAAACACAGAAACACACACAGAATATATAATGGAACTTTGACATAAGTTTATGTAACCGTGTTCTTCTGAGGCCAAACACAGTCCCCTGATTATAATAGGCCGGGCTTCTTATATTGGCTGTACTGAGGTCATTTAGTGCAGTTATTTGACTATGACATAAACACCTTACAAGACTTGTACAAAGCAAGAGCTTTTAATTTAATGTGTGGTATAGACAGTAGAGTTTTGTTTTATATACTGTAGAGTTTTGTTACATACAGTTTTATAGTTTTATTACTTAGGCCTATATAGTTTTGTTTGTCTTGGCTGCTCCAAAACAGGATGTGGGAGAGTTGGGGACTGCATGAGTTCAGAATGACTCAGACAACAGAAACATGGCCTTATGGGACAGATATTTACAAACTTTCCCCTGGGGTGAAACCATGACCAAAAACCAAGCACACCTCCACATTTAACCTATTTGAATAAGAAATCTTTACAAATAACAAACCTCAGAAGTCCACATAATCTTGTGACAGCAGATAGGAAACACCAGACTGTGCTGGAGGTGGGTGGGGGATAGAACGACATTTTTATGGGTAAATAATGGCATTAAAGAACTGATTTAATATTGCACAACACTTAAAGACTTAAAGGTTCTATATTACACAAAATTGACTCTTGTGAACTTTCAGTCATGTTAGAATATTTGTAAATCCCCATTGTTTGATGAGTAAAACACTGAGTAACTATTATTAGTCTGTCTCTGTCTTGAAAGCTCAACACGCTCTGCTCCAACTTGTGATGTGTGGTTTTTTTTGTTGTTGTTTTTTTACGGTTTCGGGGACATGAAGCAGGTCCCAGCTCCTTGTTCCGTGTCCCAGCTCACATCCTCATTTTACTTTTCACTTCCCTCTTCCAATAAGACCATACATGTTTTTGTTTCCTTTGTTTTTGTTGTTGTTTCCCGACACTCATGACAAATTCAAAACTGAAATCTAAAACTTCTGGGGTTAGAATTTTTTTTTTTTTTACACCGAAATAAGATAATTTAGTGAGAACCAAAACTTATTTTACTCGAAGTGTTTAATGAGTAAGTTCTTATAGAGTCACTGATAAGTTTTAAAGGTTTTACAGTCGCTGCTCACAAACCCAGAAATACTGAGTAATACCAAAGTCCTTAGAGATAAAGAAAATATACTTATTTGTGGCCCAGTTCAGTTGGTCGAGTGTTTGTCCACCGATCCAAAGGTTGGCGGAGCGATTCCAGTTCCCACAGATGAATGCTGTCATTGTGTCGTTTTGCAAGACACTTAACTCACCTCGCTCCCAGCGTCAGCGTACACTGGTGTATGAATGTGTGTGAATGTGTGAGTGGTTCCTTGATGTAAAACGCTTTGAGCCTTAAAGGTGGAAAAGCGTTGCATAAAAATCTGACTATTTACCATTTATTATACATCAGTAAATGCAATTAAATATGACCTTTTTTAATATATATATTTTTGCATAACTATGACTTCTAACTTTAAAAAATTTTTTGTAAGAGTTAACTCCTCAAGTGAAGGAGTTCAAGTATCTCGGGGTTTTATTCACGAGTGAGGGGAGGATGGAGCGTGAGATTGACAGGTGGATCGGTGCAGCGTCTGCAGTGATGCGGTTGCTGTATCGGACTGTTGTGGTGAAAAGAGAGCTGAGCCGAAAGACAAAGCTCTCAATTTACCGGTCAACCTACATTCCTCCCCTCACCTACGGTCATGAGCTCTGGGTAGTGACCGAAAGGACGAGATCACAGATACAAGCTGCCGAAATGAGTTTCCTCCGCAGGGTGGCTGGGCGCTCCCTTAGAGATAGGGTGAGGAACTCAGTCACACGGGAGGAGCTCGGAGTAGAGCCGCTGCTCCTCCACGTCGAGAGGAGCCAGTTGAGGTGGCTCGGGCTTCTGTTCCGGATGCCTCCTGGGCGCCTCCCTCGGGAGGTGTTCCAGGCATGTCCCACCTGAAGGAGCCCCCAGGGAAGACGCAGGACACGCTGGAGGGACTGTGGCTGCGTTCAGACTGCAGCTTGAAGTGACCCAAATCCGATTGTTTGGCCCCTATGTGACCTGTATCTGATCTTTTAATGACTGAACGACACAGATCAGATTTTTTCAAATGCGACCCAGGCCACTTCGAAATGTGCTCCTGAAACCGATAAATTCATGACTGTTAATCGTGGTGGTAAGTGTGAGGATTTTTTTTTCTAGTTTTTAAGGTGTTTTATAGCTCAAAACACCTTAACCTTTCTCCACTTGTGATTACCAAGTTTATACACAGAAAAAAAAAAAAAATAAATTTAGGTAAGTAAAAATGACTTAAACTATGAACATTTTACTTTATTTCAATCGATTCAACATGACAAGTTAAACTATCTACCAATGGAATAAGTGTTTTATTTAATTCAAGAAACATTTGTTGTTGTTGTTTTTGTTATTTTAAATGTAGCAAGATGCATTTTCATATTTTAAGTACAAAAAGTCTTGTTCCACTGGCAGATAATTTTACTTGTCAAGTGAAATTGATTCAAATTATTCAAGTCATTTTAACTTGACTAGATTTAGTTTTTTGCAGTGTGTGGAAATAAACTGTGGAACAATCAAGGCAAAACAGTGAGATCTCCATGGAGACAAGCAGGTGGCAGACCCCACACCAGGAAAGTTACACAGTGCACCTTTAAGGAAAATATGAGCATAACTGCAAATTTCTCTGATCTGGCCAAGATTTTAAAACTAATATCAGGTTATTCATCTTGTTTTCAGATTTATTATCGACTTTCGAGTTCTGAGACTGATTATTTCTAGTCTAGAGGTTGTTTATTTTAAGATAATTTGTCAAGTAAAATGATCTGACTATACAGCAAGATAATTTCTACTACTACTCTACTACTTTTAAGTCATTTTCTGATTGATTTAAGGGTTTATATTTAAGCTTTTTGCAGTTTATATTCATGGGTTTCAGGCTATGGCGACTGTCCTCCGTCGTCATAGCGATTAAGCAATTATAAAATATTATATCTTATCTTGAGAATGGGGAAGGGTTCTCGAAAAATCCTTCAAATCAGAAAGGAGGTTTTGTCTGAAATCTAAGGACAGTAGCACAAGTGTCAGAAAGCAAAGTCAAGATGTAATTTTTAGTGGAGTAAAGCGTTAAATATTTTTTGTTAATCAGCAAAACATGAACCACATGACCTTTTGTCAAATCTGAAAAGGGGAAGTAGATTTATGTAACTCTGACTCTGAATCTTCACTGGACTTGTACTGTGTTATTACACGTGGTGTGTCTTTACATCCTCTGTGCCACGTTCACAGAAGCAAAACACAACTCCAGGTTTGTTTGCGATGAAGAAAACATTATAACCCAGATCAGAAAACAGAGTAATGTTCCACAGTGTGACATTAAACAGCTCTACTTTATGTTTATTTAATTACAGGTGGTTTTACAGCTCAAAAATACCTAGAAAAACATGTATTCTGACTGTGAGCAGGGTCGCCTCTCCGAAGATCTGACCTGTAACTTGGTCTGGTTTAGTCTCCTTGATGGTAGAAAGTTTTAAAGTCATACTGTTAACAGTGTTGGGAAGTTACTTTTAAAATGTATTCCTCTACAGATTACAGATTACACTCACCAAAATGTAGTTTGTAACATAATCCATTAAATTACTTAAAGTGAGTAATGTAATCTGAATACTTTGGATTACTTGATTTGCTGCCAAGACTAGGATATTGTAACATAAGATATTTTATCTGATAGAAGAAAATAAAAAGCCCAGACTTTACTGAACCAAATTAAAAATATTATTGATAGAAGACGAGGAGACACGGTCCATGCAGCATGATTTAGTCCTGTTAAATCCTGTTAAATCTGGTCTTAGTCCTGGTTTTAGACTTGGTTTTAGACCTGGTTTAGATCTAGTTGAGATCTAGTTTAGACCTGGTTTTAGTCCTGGTTTTAATCCTGTTTTAGACCTGGTTTTAGACCTGTTTTAGACCTGGTTTAGATCTAGTTTAGACCTGGTTTAGTCCTGGTTTAGACCTGGTTTTAGACCTGGTTTAGATCTAGTTTAGACCTGTTTTTAGTCCTGGTTTTAATCTTGTTTTAGTCCTGGTTTAGACCTGTTTTAGACCTGGTTTAGATCTAGTTTAGACCTGGTTTAGTCCTGGTTTAGACCTGGTTTAGACCTGGTTTTAGACCTGTTTTAGATCTAGTTTAGACCTGTTTAGTCCTGGTTTAGACCTGGTTTAGACCTGTTTTAGACCTTTAGATCTAGACCTGGTTTAGTCCTGGTTTAGTCCTGGTTTAGACCTGGTTTTAGACCTGTTTTAGACCCGGTTTAGATCTAGTTTAGACCTGGTTTAGTCCTGGTTTAGACCTGGTTTTATTCCTGGTTTTATTCATGTTTTAGTCCTCTTTTAGTCCTGGTTTAGATCTGGTTAAGATCTCGTTTAGATCTGGTTTAGTTTCCAGCAATGAGTGGAATTACTAAAAAAAAAAAAAAAAAAAATAGCCCAAAATGTGAAAACAGGAAAATACCGCCGTGTAATCCATTTATTTCAACAAAGTAACTGTAATCTAATTACCACTCACTGAAACAGTAACTGTAACTGAATACAGTTACTCATAATTTGTACTCTGATTACATAACGCCGGTACATGTAATCTGTTACTCCCCAACACTGACTGTGAGACTTTCCAGATAAAACAATAACGTCTCCATGGAGAAAAGCGTTTGATCCTGAGCCTCCACACTGTAAAAAAAAAACAAAATCTAGCCCAGTTAAAATGACTTGAATTAAGAAAGTTTTATCATAATTTTTAATCAATTTCACTTGACAAGTAAAATTATCTTTCATGGAATGAGACTTTTTGTACTTAAGATTATGAAAATACATCTTACTACACTTAAAGTAAGAAAAACAACAACTTTTTACACTTACAATAAGAAACAAAATCTATTCCAC